TGGATGTAATTTCGTCCAACTGTGTTTTCATTCGTTTTTCGTTCATAAATCCAGTTCGAGAAAGTAAACCATAAATACTTGGGTACCACTTGAGCCGCTGAACCATCCAGTTGCACCACATTACTAGGATGTTGGGAGATGTTTGGATCTCGGTACTCTGGGATTAAGTGCAAAGTTTCAGCCGAGTGGAGGTTATGTTCTTGAAGATGGCAGTACTCCCGAGGTTCCCTCACTTTTGATAACGTTGGCAACAGTGCAAATTGCAAGTAGCAGAGAATCTAGGCAGGCGAGCAGTACCTACTTAACGTTCGTCGACCTTCCAAGGTCACTGCTCGTCTGCTTGACGATGCGGATCGTATTTAAATTAGCGACAGTCACTTGTTCCTCTTTCGCACCAGGTCCTCCGGATTCAGATTTGATCTTGCTCCACTTTTACTCCGACACCCAACGTTGTTTGTGTTTGTTGCATTGTCGGGTCGCCCGCATTGTTCTTCTTCAATGGCGTTTCTTTCGACTTGTTTGTGTGTGTGCTTTTGGTCAAACCTAACGGTACCAGCCGCTAGGCATAGCGAAACATTGTTCTCTTCGCTTCTAATCGTTTATTGGCCACATTTGGGCACTCTTCACTGTTGGAGTTTTAGGCTTCAGCATTAATCTTCTTCTGTCGATATCGTTCTTGGATGTAGATGTTTTGTGGTGTTTCGAATCGTGTATCGACGATGTAGGCATTTTGCTGATATTTTCATAATTTGGATAGCGCGCTTTGTAGCAGAGTGATGAGATATATGAAAATATCGTTTGGGTCCATGGCATGAATCAGTTTCCGCCATGCAGTAGCCAAATACTTATAGTAGAGGTGTTTTTATTTCTAATTATTTTAGTTTCGACATTGCTATGCACCTGGAAAACATCTCATAACAGTTGCTTGTCTAAACTTAAAAAAAAACTATCACGGATCTCAGTTCAGAGTACTCAGAATTTTAAAATAAACTTCACAACAGAATCAACGTTACACTGGCAAATTTGGACCAACTTTGGAACAGAATACATTCTGATTGGTGTGAGCGATTCTATTTCTGTTTGAAGAATTATTTACTGCGATTCTTTTTTCGGTTAGTGGGTGTTTTTGCAAAAAATGAATGCTTCAAATAAAGTGCCTACAGGGTGGCAAATGGCACAATGCAAAACCGGTGAAGGTTCACGTGTTCTCTGTTCGACAAATACGCTTTTGAATTTTTCGTTTATTCTCATCACCATCTCGTTTATTACAGTGGTCTCAAAAAATTAACATTTAGATCTTGCAGTGATACCTACATTTTATTATCTTGAAACCATTTTCGAAATTTTGGGATCATATTGGAGCTAAAATTTCCCAGTCGACTTCAGAAAAAAATCCAAATACCGGTTTGCATGAATTAACAAAATATTTGAAAGTGAACTTCGCTTTAGTTGAAAGTCTGCTAGACTCACAGATTTCCGGGGCAATTCTGATTTGAGTCTGTTTTGCAACTTATTTTTCATGCAACCCAGTATACTGAATTTTCGTACTAGATTGATTTTGAAGTTTTGACTTCAACATGAGCTCCATATCGTAAAAATCGGACCAAGAGCAGAAAAGTTACCGCTGCAAGAGGTGTTTTTTGAGACCACCTGGTAAATAAAAGACAGGACCTTAAAATTCAAAAACCTTTTCGAGCTATTTGGTTTATTTTTCAACTTTTGGTCCTCATTCCTCAAATTTGTTGACCATTTCGTTTATTAGCAGCTTCGCCTAAAAAAGTCAACTTGTTGGTCTTCCAGTGATCATTTTTTTCTTTTGAGCCGATTTTGAAAATCTGATCTCAGCTCAGATTGAAGCTAAAATTTCATAGTGGAATTGACAAAAAAAGCATCGTGCATTAATGAACAAAACATTTGAGAGTAAGTAAACTTATATCGTGAAAATCGGATCAAGATCAGAAAAGTTATCCCTGCAAGACCAGAAAGGTTATTTTTTGAGTCCACCTTGTAAATAGACGAGATTTCCGAAAAAATCAAGAACGGTTTTGAGCTATTTTGTTAATCTTTGAACTTTTGGTGTTGCGATCCAAAAAAACATTTTTTTCGTCTAACTAGAAGTATGCCGAACTTTGCGCCATTTTGCATTTTCATTTGCCGCCCTGTAGAAAATTTATCGAAGGAGCTTCATTTTCACCAAAACATTGACGCGGAACAAACAAATGGAACTAGATAAGGCTTCAAACAGAAACCAAATCGCTTGAAACAATCAGAAATTATCCTGCTCCAAAGTTAAGACAAAATTGAAAAAAAACCTTTTTTGTTAGGTTTCACATTTATGTTAAAAATTGTGTGCTAAAAGCTGAAGGCTCGCGAATATTTATTTGAATCAAACACTTATTCTCGTATCGTGTTCTACAGCTATTTTGAATTAGTTTCAACACAGTATTAATTAATCTGCGGAATTTTTGGCTTGCAAGTATGTAAACTAAGGTTGCTGAACACAAAATCTACATCAAGCAAACTTCACTTTTTCACAAAAATTTGTTTTCACAATCAAGTTCTGCTGGGTGAACGTTGCCGATCCGACGGATCCAAATTTAAGCAATTTCCCGAGCTTTTCTCAATTCAATTTTTGGTTTAATTTTTTTGAGACAATATTTTAATATTTTTTTCTCAGATGTTTGTTCCAAATTTGCCAATTCCTTGCGTCCAAATTGCGGATTAACTCTATTATTATACCTTACCAATGAGTACTTGAACTACCATGCCATTTGGCTGATATTATTTTGTTGACTTTAATTCGAGTGCTTATCAATGAAATGGAGATCAGCAATTAGCAAGAAGAAAAAAATGCATTTTTTTAAGGTTCTCCAGATTTATCCAGATCATAATTTTTTGTTCATTATTTCTTCGGTTGGGCTCTATTTATTCGCGTGAGTTTTGAATTCATCGGGATCCAGCGGTTTTTTGCATCGTATTTGGAAGACAAAACTGCCTTTGTTTGATTATCTTTTATCAAAAATACTTCAGAGTTTAAAGAACCATTAAACGGTTATCTGCATTTGTGACTATGCATTTTAAGGCACAAAATTTAACTTACTAGTTAATATGTAAGTTTGATGAATTGCTATAATTTTTCTCAGAAAGTAGTGATGTGATATCGCAGGAAAATGAAAACGCGTATTTTTAAAAGGGAAATTAGCGCAAAGAAAAGAATATTGAATTTTTTTAAAATTCAAAACGAAAGTGAATTTGATCTACAAATTAACGAAATTATTTTTTTTTTTTTGTTGTTTTTCTGCTCAAGGAAGCTCAAATAACGTCTTCAAACCTGATACCAATTTCACCCTGGATATTTTCAGACTATTTTATAATATAAATTGTTCAAATCAGAACAGATATAGAAAATATGTACAGGGCGCTTCAAACTGTGACAAACTTGAGAAGATTGCTAAAAAATTTGAAAAAAATTGTTGTACCTTTTCATTGCTAATTCAATTCCAAAAGCTTTCTTACATTTTCTTCCTAGAAAGTCCCATTTTCGAGTTAAAAAAAATTGAAATCGTATTCATGTCCGTCTTGGAATCCTCACATCAACAGTTATTTTAAATTAAACTTTGAAATGATTGACGATTGATTTTAATGAGAA